TTAAGGTAAGTGGCTGAAGGGATTTTAACCCAGCAAACCAATCTGGCAAATTTCAATGGAAAAGCCCTATATTTGACCCCTGTAAGTGTCCAAAAACTCATAAAACCTGTAAATGGGGGGACTGTGGTACTGATGAGACATTGCTGAATTCAAATATGTGTATTTTATTGCAGTAAACACTAACGGTATTATGACATTCAGAGGTAAAATGCCATGCAGAACTTGAAATCTAGCATATTTTCTTAATTTCTCATACTTTTTATTTTATTCACATTCAGTTATGTTTCAAATATTAATATTTGAAAGTACATGAAAGCCCTGTTTCTCCTGAACAAAATGATGTATAAGTAGTGTGGGTGCAATTAATATGAAAGAGGTGAAATATGGTTGAACCACATATAGCGCAAATTCCAGGTTTTGTTTACATTTTAAAGTGGGTAATAAGGATACCTGATCCTAAACGTACCAGGAAATAACTTGTGAGAAAGATGACGTAATTAACTCAGTAAAGAAATCTAAAAATAGTATAGATGGAGGGATATCCAGGAAAAATCCTGCCCACAGTGGTGCAAAGGGGCACTGTTAACTAAACAGTGAACTAAAAAAATATAAAAATCTTTCCAGCATTGAAATAGATAATAAAAATGCATAAAATACTACTTCATATGTCACTGGAACGAAAGGGTAGAGGTGATCGTCCACATCAAAGGATAGTTCGTGTAATAAGTCTGTGGAAATTAGGGTAGCAATGTCTTATGTAAGTATGTCTCAGCTATCAGGATAGACAACTCCTGTTCTATAGTAGCAGGAGCTGGAAAAATCAGAGACTGATGTACTATAACCTATATAGGATAGTAAAAAAAAAAAAAAGAGGTATATGTTCTTCTTTGTCAGTATACAGTATCCCACCATGTAATGGTCTCTTGTGTTGGAACATTGTCTTAAGGACTACATAAGGTTTATGTTTTGTTTTGATCACAACTTGTACAATTTGGCTCCGTCCTTAAGGGGTTAATAAAAGTCACTTGAAAAGAAAAGTGTATTGTTGAAGCTTGTTTTTTTTTTTTTTATGAGGGAGTCATCGATTTGGTTGAGAGTGTAAACTGAACTCTCTGAGCCAATAGGTGGCGTCACTGCTTAAAGGACCACTATAGTGCCAGGAAAACATACTCGTTTTCCTGGCACTATAGTGCCCTGAGGGTGCCCCCACCCTCAGGGACCCCCTCCCGCCCGGCTCTGGAAGGGGGAAAGGGGTAAAACTTACCTTTTTCCAGCGCTGGGCGGAGAGCTCTCCTCCTCCTCTCCGCCTCCGTTACGCCCCGCCGGCTGAATGCGCACGCGCGGCAAGAGCTGCGCGCGCATTCAGCCGGTCTCATAGGAAAGCATTTACAATGCTTTCCTATGGACGCTGGCGTGCTCTCACTGTGATTTTCACAGTGAGAAGCACGCAAGCGCCTCTAGTGGCTGTCAATGAGACAGCCACTAGAGGATTAGGGGGAAGGCTTAACCCATTCATAATTATAGCAGTTTCTCTGAAACTGCTATAATTATGAAAAAATGGGTTAACCCTAGAAGGACCTGGCACCCAGACCACTTCATTAAGCTGAAGTGGTCTGGGTGCCTAGAGTGGTCCTTTAATTCTGCAAGAGCCTTCCAGTTTGAAGATTTTGAGAAAACAGGACAGAGCAGCAGGGAGATTTGGTGCTGGAACACAACTTTGGTGTTTAACCCCTTAAAGCGACACTGTCATGGCCGAATCCAGTGTTTTACTATCCTCTCAACTCCACTACACCTAATTGACCCCCTAGTCACCCTTAAGCCCCTCATATTACCTAGGTTTTAAACTTTATTTTCTGCGCGGACCTAGGTTCTGGGTGCCGCCATCTTTGTGTGGGTAGATGAAGGCCCTGTGGGAAACGTCATTTGCCCACCCTAGATAGTGCTGTGAAATTCCCGCGCATGCCCAGTTAAACACTTGTGCATACAAATGGAATTTCATCCATTCATTCGTCAGAAAGACTAATTAATGCATAGACATGTCAGACAGACAAACACTGAATATCGGTGTTCGTTTATTACAAGGAGGGAGCTACCAGCATGCAGCTCCCTCCTTGTAAAATGTAAAAATATAAGCCACCCATGTCCTCCCTCACTCTATGGGGGTTAAAATCTCCCGAATGCCCCTACTTGCTATGCCGTGAGTAGGGGTATGTCTACTAAACAGTGAACAGCCTGTGGCTGCTCACTGTTTAAAAAAAACAAAACCCAAAACCTAGTACCCCCCCCCACTCCCCCACCCAAATCAAAAATTAATAATCCCTACCTACCCCCTCACCCTAAAAATAGTGTGGGGGAATAAAAGAACTAAGTACCAAATAAATAAATAAAAATACAACTTTTTTTTTTTCTTTTTTTTTTTCTAAAATCTTCATTTTTTTTTCAGCCCCAAAAAAGGAAAAAACCCGATGCTAAAAAATTAATCCATCTTCACCCATGGAGGGCATGGCGCAGACTGAGCTCCGCAGAGCGGGAAAAGGCTTATAAAGCCTTCCCACGCCCTGCAGTTTGACTCAGAGCACTCTGGTTGGCTTGGAGTCCAACCAATCAGAGTGCTAGTCAATTTACACACGTGGGAAAGTTCTCTCGCAGTTTAAAATCACACAGAGCACTCTGGCTTTTACCTGTCAGTCTCTTCATTTACTTGTCAGAGCATTCTGGCTTAACCCGTTAACGCCGTTACGGTGTTCTATGCCGTCCCACATTAAATGGGCTTTAAAGCCGTTACGGCGGCATAGAACGCCGTAACGGTTTTGAGCCCCTGGAGGTCCGCGGTACTCACCTCCACCGCGATCCTCTTCTGGAGGCAAATCAGGCCCCCGTGGGCCATGTGATCGTTCTCAAAGAGTGATCACATGGCCTCCGATAGCTGGCTGTGGATCTGCCAGCAGGGGGACTGTCTTAAATGTCAGACAGTCCCCCTGCTGGTGGGAAAGTAAAAAGTAAAAAAAAAGTGGGGAAAATAAATAAATAAATAAAAAATCTTTAAACATGTAATGTTATAAAATAGAAAAGTGTGTGTGTGTGTGTGTGTGTATATGTAACGTCATACAAAGTGTACTTTAATATTGATATAAGTACATATATTAGTATTAAAAAATACACTTAGAATGACCATATAAATATATATACACATATAATATATATGTATAATTACATTAATTATTGTAATACAAATGATATATTCATATGTAATTTCATTCTAACTGTATTTTGTTATTAAATATATATATACACTTAAAATGACATTCTATATCCATCTATATATAAAATACAAATAACTGTGTGTGTGGATAAATACATATAATTACATAAACGATTACATTAGTATACACGTAGAATTTACCTATAAATGCATATATATTAAAATTCTACATGTATAGTTAAGTAATCTTTTAACATAATTATGTGATTTGATTGACATGCCTGACAACACAGGGAGAAAGTGCAGAGAATTTAATTCGCAAGCACTATATTTGACCCTGTAACTCTCCAAGACACCATAAAACCTGTACATAGGGGGTACTGTTTTACTCAGGAGACTTTGCTGAACTCAAATATTAGTGTTTCAAACTGGTAAATTGTATTACAACGATGATATTGTAAGTAAAAGTGAAGTTTTTTGCATTTTTTTTTTACAAACGAACGGCACTTTTTATGGACTATATTATTGTTGTAATATGTTTTACTGTTTTAAAACACTAATATTTGTGTTTAGTGGAGTCTCCCGAGAATAACAAATATGTGCATTTTATTATGACATTCACAGCTAAAATGTCAGACGGAAATACAAATTTTTTTTTTATTTTTTTTAAATCTTATTTTCTCACTTTAAAAAAAAAAATGTTGTTCATAATAAATTATGTTCCATATATGAATAGTTACTGATAAATTAAAGCCCTGTTTCTCCTGAACAAAATGATGTATTATAAGTGTGGGTGCACTTAATGTGACAGCGGTGAATTACGGTTGAACAGACATATAGCGCAAATTCCAGTTTTTGTTTACGTTTTGTTTTGATCAGATGCACTATTGACTCTGTCCTGAAGGAGTTAAACCAACCAATCAGAACGCTCTGAGCCTAATTGCAGGGCGTGGGAAGGCTTTATAAGCCCTCCATGGGTGAAGATGGGTTAAATTTTTTTTTTACAAGTTCGATGGGTATTATGGTTTTTATTTGGCCTTTTTTGGACATCAGACTTGCATCAAATGGTAATTTGTTTATTTAGTGTGGGGTGGTTTTTGGTTTTGTTTTTGTTTTTTCTCACTATTTTTAGGTTGAGGGGGTAGGTAGGGGTTTATTAATTTTTGATTTGGGTAGGGGCGGTGAATAGGGACTTGGGGACCCCTAGTCACTGTTGGGGGGGAGGGGGGGGGAGGGCATTTTAATTTATGGCCCCCACCTGACGCTGGGGAGGACAATAGGTCGTCGTCGTCGTCCCCCCCCCTCACACACACACACACACACACACATTCTCAATTAGTGGGAATTAGGGAGTTATCTACTAAGCGGCTGCTTAGGATTGAAATTTCATTAATTCGACACATTGCACCAACACATATTATATACCGTTTTGTTTTGTTTAATTTGATATGATACATATTTAAATTCTCATTTATTATAAAAATATACAAAAAGGAAGGTGTGTGTGTGTGTGTGTGTGTGTGTGGTTTTTTTTTTTTTTCTTTACAGTATTGGAAATAGTTTATTTTTGATAGCTTCTGGAAATTTTAGAATTTGGTATGTTTGTCCTGTAAGGTTAATAGCAGTCGCCGAAAACCAAATTGCCACACAAAAGTGTGTATATATTTATATAAAGCCGATATCACAGGCTGTTTACCTAATGGTATATTGACACTTTTTACGTAGCCATTTAACAGCCAATCTCTGCTAAATAGTGCAGTAACATTGTGTTTTTCTGATTTTTATAACAAACGCATTTTAGTGTGTGTGTGTGTGTGTGTGTGTGTATATACACACACACACACACACACACACACACACACACACACACACACACACACACACACACACACACACACACACACATATACAGTGCCTTGCAAAAGTATTCACCCCCTTGGCATTTGCCGTGTTTTGTTGCCTCACAGCCTGAAATGGCTTGTTTGAGTACTTGCATCAATGAATTTACAGAGCATGCTCACAACTTTGAATAATTTTTTTTATTTTTTTTTATTTTAATATTGTGAATCAAACAACAAATAAAACAAAATAACAGAAAAGGTCAATGTGCATAACTATTCACCCCCCCTAAAGTCAATACTTTTGTAGAGCCAAATTTTTGCGGCAATCACAGCTCCAAGTCGCTTTGGATAAGTCTCTATGAGCTTGCCACATCTTACCACTGGGATTTTTGCCCATTCCTCCTTGCAAACTGCTCCAGCTCCTTCAAGTTGGATGGTTTGCGCTTGTGAACAGCAATCTTTAAGTCTGACCACAGATTTTCTATTGGATTGAGGTCTGGGCTTTGATTAGGCCATTCCAACACATTTACATGTTTCCCCTTAAACCACTCAAGTGTTGCTTTAGCAGTGTGTTTGGGGTCATTGTCCTGCTGGAAGGTGAACCTCCGTCCTAGCCTCAAATCACGCACTGAGTGGTACAGGTTTTGCTCAAGAATATCCCTGTATTTAGCACCATCCATCTTTCCCTCAACTCTGACCAGTTTCCCAGTCCCGGCTGCTGAAAAACACCCCCACAGCATAATGCTGCCACCACCATGTTTCACTGTGGGGATGGTGTTCTTTAAGTGATGTGATGTGTTGGGTTTGCGCCCGACATAGCGTTTTTTCTTTGATGACCGAAAAAAAAGTTCAATTTTAGTCTCATCAGACCAGAGCACCTTCCTCCATACATTTTCGGAGTCTCCCACATGCCTTTTTGCAAACTCAAAACTTTCCATTTTGTTTTTTGCTGAAAGTCATGGCATTCTTCTGGCCACTGTGCCATAATGCCCAATTCGATGGAGCGTACGGCTTATTGTTGTCCTATGTACAGATACTCCAGTCTCTGCTGTGGAACTCTGCAGCTCCTCCAGGGTTACCTTAGGTCTCTGTGCTGATTAATGCCCTCCTTGCCCGGTCCGTGAGTTTTGGTGGGCGGCCGTCTCTTGGCAGGTTTGCTGTTGTGCCATGTTCTTTCCATTTGGTTATGATAGATTTGATGGTGCTCCTGGGGATCATGAAAGATTTGGGGGGATATATATATATATATATATATATATATATATATATATATATATATATTATTATTATTCTCCCTGACTTGTACTTCTCAACAACATTGTCCCTTACTTGTTTGGAGAGTTCCTTGGTCTTCATGGCAGTGTTTTGTTAGTGGCGCCTCTTGCTTAGGTGTTGCAGCCTCTGGGGCCTTTCAAAAAAGGTGTGTGTGTGTGTGTATATGTAATAACCGATCATGTGACACATAGAGATTAATAAATTATTGAATTTAAGGCTGTGATGTAACAAAATAGGTAAAAAGTCAAGGAGGGTGAATACTTTTGCAAGGCACTGTATAGTGTGTACTGTTCCTGTAGAAAACCCTATATTGTGGTCAGCTGCATCTTCTGAGTACAACGAGACCCCTAATGTATGCCTTTGCCACTATCCCGTGAAGGTACAGTGCCTTAACTAGACCTGACCATTTCAGTTTTTGATATAAGAATTTGATGGGTGTAAGTCTAATTTTGGGGCATTGTAGCGGTTTGATTGTTGAACTTACCCCACAAAGGCCTACCATTTGTGAAAGCAGACACTCCATAGTTTTTTGTGAAAACACAGGACTAAAATTATAACCTACAGGTTTTGGAAACATGTCAAAGTGAATATAGGTCTTTGGGGTATTTTAATAGCTTATATATTTGAGTTATGCCACAAATGCATACCATATGCAAAGGTGGACACTATGGGGACTCGCACATAATCTATTTTGAGCTTTATTGAAGTGACTTTTTTTTATTTTAATTTTTTCAAATCTTTTGTGTCCCACTGTAACAAAATTATCGTGGCTGTACTCAACATTTCCTGTGTACAACAATACCCTATATGTAATATGTTTGGAAAGTAGCAATCTAAATTCCTTTATCCTAAACTAAATCATAATCCCAAGTCTAGCCATAAATATAATCATAAACCTCACACCATTCCTAACCCTGATTATAACCTTAATTCTAATGTTAATACTAACTTTAGCAATAGCGTGTTAATCCTAATCTGGGGATAGACCGATTATCGGTTTGGCCGATATTATCAGACGATGTTTTGGCAAATATCATTATTGGCCACTATTGATACCGATATTGCCAATAATGTCAGAGGCGGCAGTGGCCCAGCGCACGCATGGCTGGAGCGTCAATAAGGCATAACACGTGGCCACATTAGGGTATACCAGCTCTGGGGGAGCAAGAATCAAGTGACCTGCAGTAAGGAGGCGCACAGCGCTCCCCTACCAGTCACTCAGTGTAGTGTAGTCGAGTGGACTACGGTACAGGAGCTTCAGTTTCCTGTACCTGGCTGGACTGACCAGAAATGCGCACTTCCTGTCAGTCTGGCCAGGTATAGGAAACTGAAGCTCTGATCGGCCATGCTACAAGAGAGATAATGAGGAACACAAAGGTAGAGGGATGGAAATACACACTAAGAGACAGGAGAGGAACACTAAATATTCTTGAAAACAAAAAAATCTGACTGGCATGTATATTTTGTGCATTTACCACTGAATAATTAATTTTATTTTTTTTCAAAAATAAAAAGTAAACATGTTCAGTTAACTGTAAATTTGTGTAGAACTTGTTTCTTTTTTTTCAAAATGGTAAATGTACAGAATATCGGCTATCTGCCTGAAAGTTCAGATTATTGGTATCAGCTCTTAAAAAAAAAATAAAAAAAAAATCGGTCGATACATAATCTCAATAGTAAAATTTATTTTAAACATAACCCTAATTCTTAACCGACTAATAATCTGTAATTTTAATCCTTAATTTAATCTTCCCAAAAGATTAATCCCTTTCCGACCAGGGACATATTACATACGTCCCTAAGGACCACGGACGTACCTGATACGTCCGCGGCTAATTAAATAGTAACCTTTTTTTTATTTTATTGTATTTATTAACATAAATAATATGTGTATATATGAGATGTATAACGTCATACTAATATATACATATATAAAAATACACTGTGTGTGTAATTTTATTCTAACTGTATTTTGATATTAATATATTCATATCAAAATACACTTTGTGTATATATAAATAATTTCATAAATATACACGTAGAATTCAAATATATAAATATGTGTGTATATATTTAACTTCTACGTGCATATTTATGTAAAATTTTTACATAATTAAGTAATTTTATTGATTGCAATTTGAGGTACCTGCCTGACAACCCAGGCAGAAAGTCCAGAGAATTTAATTTGCTAGCCACTGGCGTACGTATAGCAGTCACTCCAGGGGGCCAGGCCAACCGGCTGCCCGCCATCATCATGTGTGGCCCTAGCCCGCGCGGCAAACCGCTGGGGCCGCATGTTAAGGTACCCGGTGGGTATGGATTTTCAGGGGGCCCGGTCAGCGCTGGATGCTTTAACAGCGTGACTGGGCCCCCTGTGAAGAGAACTGCTGTGAGGAAGTGACTCCCTGTCACTCCTCCCAGCTATCACTGAGAGCCCGCGCAGGAGGAAGCAGAGGGAGTGGGAACTCTGACTCCCACCACTGGACCCCAGGGAAAGTCATCCTCCTGCACCTAAAAGGTAGGAAACCGGAGGGTGACTTAAATATTATGTATGTGTCTTTGTGTGTCTGTCTGTATGTGTGCCTGTCTGTCTGTTTGTATGTGTCTGTGTGTCTCCTCCTTCTTTTTTTCTTTTTTTTTTTTTTCTTTTTTTGTGTGTGTGTGTGTGTCTGTCTGTAGGGGGGGGGGGATCCCTGGATCAGTTTTGCACCAGGGCCCCATGGGTTGTGTGTAAGCCACTGTTGCTAGCACTATATTTAACCCTGTAACTTCCCAAGACACCCTAAAACCTGTCCATGGGGGGTACTGTTTTACTTGGTAGACTTCACTGAACACAAATATTAGTGTTTCAAAACAGTAAAACATATCACAGCGATGATATTGTCAGTGAAAGTGAATTATTAATTTTTATTTTTTTTTCTTGCATTTTTCTCCCACACTTTCACTGATGATATTGTTGTAATACGTTTTACTGGTTTGAAACACTAATATGTGTTCAGCAAAGTCTCCCGAGTATAACAGTACCCCCCCATGTACAGATTTTATAGTGGTTTTTGAAAGTTACAGAGTCAAATATAATAGGGATAGACCGATATTGTATGTGTGGGGTGTGTGTGTGTTTTTTTGTTTTTTTTTTTTTTAGCTGAAAATCTATGATCTTTCAGGCCAATAGCCGATAACTTACCGATACTGATATTCCCATAGGAAAGCATTGAATAATGCGTTTCCTATGGTGAAATTCTAATTTTGAGCTCCGGCTATTTCTGCACACGCACATTAGGTCTCTCCCACGGGGGAAAACCCAGAACAGGTAAGTGACAGAAGGGGGTTATTAACCCCTTCTGCACCACATGGGGGATGGGTCATTGACAGAGGGGGAAGCTATAGTGCAAGGAAAATTAGTTTGCTTTCCTGGGCTGGCACTATAGTTTCCCTTTAATTCGGACTACGTGCTGCCAGTGCCAAGTTAACCCATTGGCCATAATGCAGAAAAACATGTGTCCTCCCTCTCCTCTTCTCTGTATGATTGACCACTCCTCAGCTCATTTTAATTTATATTTTCTCCTGATGGAGTGAGTAACTGTTTATTGGAGTAAAGAAAATTACCTTTTACCGACCAGAAGATTAAAATTGGCACACAAGTGGCAGAGCAGACTAGACGGCAGCCAGACAGCACTAATTCAGGCCCGGGTCTTCAGCTCCTCTCTAAAACTCTCGCAATTTGCGCGCCTGCTTTTGCTGTGCGGAGCATCGGCAAGAAC